TAATTAGTACAATCTCCGTGGTGTGTTCCATTCCCGGCGTATCGAGTCTCGTGTCTCCATCCGTCTCTCTCATTGTACCCCTAAATGCCAAGCATTCCAGCGCGTTCCTCCAGAAGAAGGTAATATCCTACCGGAAGCCATGGCTACCTACATACGACTTCTTGCAGAGTAACGTTGCTGAAATACCGATTTAGATACAACCGAGAATACAAGAACACTGGAAAAGTTGTTGCCTTCCGTAGAGACGAGTTGTTGTCCCGAGGAAATTACAGTGAATTGTTCAGACGAAACTTTGTTTAGAAACTACGCTACCTTGGAAAATAGTATTTTCTTGAATACTCTTCGAAGAATATTAGATACCCTGGTGCAATTCATCAACGTCGTTTATATGTATATAAAAAGTGTACCAAATTTTTAACAGTTTCACTACCACTACGCAATTTTAAATTATTTCATTATAGATCACTTTTTGCTTTATAAAATAATATAAATGTTTTTAAAAAATATTTTCTATTCAAGCCTGGGGATGTTAGCTTCGCATCAGGAACGATGATAAATTAAGTCTAGCGTTAGCCCATTACATCCATGGGTTCTGATGGGAATACAGGGGGTAGTTGTATGTATAGGTTGCCGGAGTAAATAAATCTTTATTATGTCAGTGCTTCGATCGTGTATATTATGCGGCTTCTGGACGCGTGCATAACATTTGCAAATATAGCACTAACGTCAACGAGCACTCTGGATGTGCACTATATTAGCGTGGCAAGCTGAAACGTTGATGCGTTGATAGCTTGAATTTATTAGCTATCTAAATTCATTATCGAGAACACGTGATTCGTGGTGTGACCTGACAATTAGGCAGAGATGAGGAATAATTTCGATATTTTGAGAAGGAAATTACGTTAATTACCTACTCATTTTAATTGCATCGATGATTGATTTTAAGGTGGGTCGGGTCGGGTCGGGTCGAATCGAGTATGCATAGATTGCGTCGGGTTGGGTTGGGTTTGCATGCATCGAGTCGGATCGAATTTGCATAGATCGCGTCGGTCAAGTCGGGTCGGATCGGGTTTGTATGAATCGTGTCGGGTCGATCATGAGATACCCGAAATTTTCAGGTTTTCGCACATTCATACTTTCAAGAACCCGACCCAAAATTTTCAAATTCTTGCATACCCTAATTATAGAAATATGCTTAACGATGAACAAATACTTGAGAGAAATAGTACTATAAATTATTCTTATCAGGAATTTCGCGCACAAACTGATACAAGAATGAATGATTTTTTTCGCGCTGTTCTGCTAATTGAACTAGTTTGGTAAGGTGTTTCGTTCTCGACTTTGGTAGTCCTGCATCGTTGCACACGAACGTGTAACAGCTGAACTGGCCGCTATTCCAATCGTCATAAATTGTCGTAGAGAACGTGACGATCGTACCGAGTAGCCAATGGATACGCTCGCCTGTCATTTGACCCCTGCAGCTTCTGTTGGCGTCGCATGCTTAACAACCCTCTCCGGAGGCCTTTGACTACCGATTCGCTTAACTCACGGTATTTATCGGACCGGAATGATTGAACTTTTGTAACGGGTTATTTTGTAACGAAACAATTCTTACTTAGTGTTACTTTGTAACAAAGGAATTGATGGTTAGAATGATCTTCAATTTAAAATTGATCAGTCATTTTAATCTATCTTTAAGTTTCAAATTGATGTGGTATAAGTGGTATTTGGTGGTACTTTTATGTCATCAAATCTAGCGTCTGATTAGGAAGATTATAGCTCCGGGCTCCAGAAATTTTAATCCGGTCCTGATCAAATTTTATCAGATTCTCTAGATACTATTTTCTCCAATTATTTCTATTAATTCAGAAGCAAATTCATGTACAAAACCGTATTCCATCGTTACAACCATGAAACCTTCATTTAATTCCAATGAAATATCTATGAAATTTAAATAATTACCATACAAATTGGCCTATTTTATTACGAAGAATAATATTCGTTCCAGTACCAATACGATTGTTGAACAGTAACGTAATTGTCAAGCGGTGTAACCTGCGCGACAAATAGACAAAACGTGGCGACCCGTCGTCAATTAGTTGAGCTGGCATTAATGCAAATGCCAACATTAGCCGATAATAAGGGGGCTAATATTATTATTTTACGGGAATAATATCAGCATAACTCATTTGGCTTAATCAAGAGCATTACCGCCACGGTAGGCAAACCTATTTTGCCATCGACAAATTTAATACCACACCGTTGCAGCCTATGTTCACCTGGTCGCCCCGTTTCAACCCCCTACTTTGACCCTTTCCCTACCGTGAATTGTCTGTGAAATCGAATGGCACGCATATTCTGACTCTGCAGAATTCGATGCACGTGATCGCGACAAAACGCTGAACGTTTAAAGTCATGGGTCAATAATTGAGTTATTGCTTATGACGGAATCTGATGGCCACTTAATAATGGCGAAGAAATCAATTTAGAAGAATTTTAATACTTTTGCTAATGAAATGACGATGACCAAATTAATCCTAATTCAGACTTAAGAAGCATAGCAATTTTTAAACGAAGGGGTTTCATATAGTGAAAAAGAATATTTTTAATACAGGAAATAATTATAGTTTATAAAATTAAATTTAACCCTTTCATAAGCAGTAGGAATTATTGTTTTCATCAACTAAAGTACAATTCTATTTGCAAAGGACAGTATAAGAAGAAAATAAATTAATTTTATTAATTTAAATATATATTCGATTAATATTTTGTATGTTGAAATTTTTGCTTTTTTACAAAATAACAAAAGTTATACCCACGAAAGGGTTAAGTTGCCAATTCTCAGCGGTTGTCCCCTCAAGGGTTAATTAAAAATATATTTTTTATTTTAATATCTTTTGGTGGTTTTAAAAGAATCATATTAGAATTATTCATGATCACCTTGCATTACATGCAATTATACATGAAAGCAAACCGCGACGGGTCACCAATTCAAATCGCGCGACAATGACGGCAATGCAAATCCGGCCGTGCCTGCATCCTGAATAGTCGAAGCTTCCACGCATAGCTGAGATCACATCCACTCGCAACCCTCTCACCACCACCGTCATTGCACCCTAGACTGTCAGTTATTTATTAGGGTGAACGTTCATACCAACGCAACGCTGTTTCAACCTCATAAATCGGCTGTTTAATGCACTTTTATTCTTGCCCTATGCAGAACCAGATTAAGATTTCTGATGCCCGGGGGTTAGAAGGTCCCTCCATTCACAAATTGAGATTTATTTTAAATAAAATTAAATAAAATTACTTAATTGTAAAGGAAAAGGGCAGCGATAGAACAAAATGTCATTCGATACTTTTTGACATAGTAAATGGAAGACTTACAATCAGAATGGCACTCTCTGAAAAGTGGGACCCAAGGCTATAACTCCCCTTCAGGCTGACCTGGTTAACTATTTCACCCTTATTTTAACAATAACGTAACGACTAACTGCTTTCGAAATAGTAACTATTCCATGATTGTCGTGGAATTATTTTCCAAGAAATTCTATGCATTCTTGCCGCGACAAATTACGAAAACCCGACACGGATTCTTTGTGATCGTCGTGAACGCAACGGTGAATAAATTCTATTGGATACTTTCTGGAACAGATAAAATGGGAATTTTAATGGGGACAGGTATGTTAGGAATATTCGATGCGGGATTCAAATAAATGGAAATGGAACGGGAAGAAGGGAATTTGAAACGAGCCTGAATTTTACTATGCTTTTGCGCGAGACGACGCGAGGGCTTGCAAGCGTTTTTAACGAAATTTATATCTGTGCTTTGGAAGAACGGTGTACGGGAGAAATGTTAATGGCGAATGTGGGAGAATGATGTCGTTTGATGTTCTTGCATTCTTCTTTTCCTTCCCTTTTTCGGGGTTCATATAAGAAAATTTAATCAGGCTAATGTCTGTTTCCATAAATTACCTTTACCAGTACTTTGTGTTATTATTCTGAAAATTTCACTCATATACGTGAAAAATAATTTTCGTCTAACTATCTCGAAAGATAAAAGTGAAATGCACTAAATATAATGAATATAGTGTTCATTCCTAAATTTCCTGTTATTGCAAATATTGTTTAAATCATAGTAATATGGAGTTAGATGTGAATAAATTAATTTAATTAAACTTAAAATTGGCCCATTTAGAAAATATAATAGTGATCTATTACTACTGCTTTTAAGGAAGAAAATTATTCAAAATTTGTAGAAATATTTGAAATTTTGAAGTAAATGATGAATTTATCGACGCTCTGTTATCAGCGCCCTGTTACGGAGTTTGAATGAACTGCATACCACCTTAGGTATGATACGCACAAATTTTCAATAAATATTTATTTAATAATGTCATTTTGAAAAAAGATTCGGTTTCTGAATCGGTAGAATGTTACATTACTCGAGTTTTAGATAATTTATTTTTGAAATTATTTTTTGCTCATATTGCAACTCCTTTTATATATTTAATTTAAATAGTTTGATTTCTTGAAAATATTAATTAATAAAAATCATTACTATTAATTGGTTATACTGATATTTTAAATTAGGTTTTATTTGGTGCTCGGTATTATATTTGTTTGATTTTTATTACAATTGTACTATATTAATACCATTTAAAGGAAATTTAAAATTATATCGTTTATAACATCAATCCATTGATATAACCCAAATATGATTATAAATGTCTTTTATCATCATTATTTATGTACAATAAATAAATCATGTTCCATTAAATTTACATCAGTACCATTATCGATTCTGTGGTTAAATAATAATCCTTCACACGTTTACAAAATATTCCTGTAATGGATTAACAATATAGAGATAAATTAAAAATGATGATTGTAGGTAATATCATAATTTAATGAATTATTAATAAATGTAATATTACATAGTTCAATTACAAAAAAGTAAATACTCAATGAAAAGAAATAATATCTTTTTAAATGACATTGCAAAAATTGATCTATTTTCAGAATAGGGTGTTATAATAAATAAGTGAAATTGAAGTCAGAATTCAGAATTTCTGACATAAACAGACAAATAATTTCATGTTTTTGTTTCATGTATGAAATTTCAATTTTTCTTTTCTTTACAAACATTTTTGAAATTGTGGTATACATAATTAACTCGAATAACAAATGTGCACAGAATAATTCATGTTCTTAAAAATGGACCCGTCAAATATTAACAAATATTGTCTTCATCTTTGAAAAAGTATAAATATCTACTACATCATTGTTTTATAATACGACCACGTTATTATTCAACAAACACTTATTAAAATACTTTCACATTAATAATTAACAATATAACAAGCAGCATGTATCTAATTTTAAAGTAGAATATACTCGAAAAATTAAAAATTATACTTTATCTTAACAGAAATTAACATCTATTGCAGTAAAAGCATCTTAATAATTCTTATAACTTAAAATCAGTCATTATGATGGGTTTGATTATTCTAATATTAATAATATTTAGTTATTTTAAACTGTAAAGTAACATCAGATATCATTTTTGTCACTCACATTTCTATTTACATACTGTGGAAAATTAAATATTCTTCCATAAAGATTATTAAATCCATTAATGCGTTTAATTTATCACACTGCCTTCAAAAGGTTATTGACTTAATTTCATATCTAAAATAGTGAATAATATAATATAATATAATTATATAAATTAAAATAATATCGTGATGCCCCCCACCCCCCGTAGGCATCATTCAGGAAAATTACATTGTAACGAAGGGGGCCTCCTACATATAGCTTTGTAGCCTCCCACTACTTGCGTATAAACGTTTACGCGGGAAGATTTGAATTAATATTTTAACTTTGTTATTCGTAGGTACTTTTCAGTTATATACAATACTACACTTGATTTTGTTTATAATATTAATATTGTCAAAATTAAGATTCTGAGATATCTCTATTTTTTCTAGGGAGGCCAGATTTGGTCTGCCTCCAATTATACTTCAATTATATTTTTTACATTTCTCAAAGTACCAGACAAACCCTTCTCGTCTAAGTCTATTCACAAGTATAGCTTCTTTTTTTAGATATACATACTTCTGATCTGTTCGAAACTGTTTGAAGTATACTTAAATTACGTCACTGATGCTCATTGACGTCACTCTCTAAACATTTCTACGTAATCACAATCTCCACGATCTTCCTTAACAGCCGTAATACATCTGAATCAGCTCGTTTTACTCGCAATTACATCGTTACATAGCGATCGATCCCTAGATCCCTAATACCCAAGGCATCGTGTACCATCCTGGAGTCGATTGTAATTGGCTGTAACTCCGGTCGCCGGCTCAGGCCCGGAAATAGACCCTGTAACCGGAGAACTCATTTATGGAAATACACTGGTGACCATGCGTTCATCCTATTTTTGACTTCAACGTTCAACCAGAGGATCTCCTTCCTTTCTGCCTCTCCCTCTCCTTTTCACAATTTTTCACCCCCTTCCATCGTCTGAACTCTGCAATAAAATTAGCCAGGATTTAATCAATTCACGAGGCGAACGCTTCTTATCGTGATATTACATAAACTCGACAGGGATATCGGAGTGTCTACGTAATTACTGCTCTAGCCCCCTTTTTTTTTAATTTAAACATTAAACGCTTCAGATTAAATTGCTACTTAACCCTTTCGCTTCTATAGTTGTCCCAATTATTATAAAGCGTTTGGAGTTCAAAATAGAAGGCTTACGATAAAAATGTTCATGTTACAATTAGAAATAAAACATTTCTCGTTGCAAATAAAATTTTGTGTAGTAAATTATTTTTTTCTACGTTTAATACTTACAATCACAGGGGTGATTAGCGCCGAGACACGTATCACAAGTGTAAAAAGAAAAATGATCGCGACACCAGTGAAAGAGAGCACACTTTTTTCCTGGGTTGCATCTGCAAGAAGAAAATTTCTAGCTGGTGAATCGTGGCTGGCTCGCTCGGCGGGAGAGAGAAAACAGGCCCTGGGAACAGCTTGAAATATTTTGCCGATTTAAATAAAGCTGGCGACCACATGGTAGTCAGAGAAACCGTAAATAGAGAACACGAGAGGCCACATGGACGTAGAGAGATGCGAGAGTCACGTTACGGGATACGTGGAACTGGCTCTATTTCTGACCTGTAGGCCGCCTCTACCCAGGGAACAGGCAATGTTAATGCAATATATCTCTCGATTACAATAACATCTCGTTACATTCTCGATCTCCTGAATTCTTCACGAACAGCCTCGATGAAAATTGTTTCCGAAACATTCTAATCACCGCTTACTTTCCCCAACTATGATTTCCCTGAAATCTCGCCGAGGAGACATGTGTTCAGGTGAATTGTTTGATCAGCTGGTCGAACGAATCCCACGCAGTGGTTCCAGTTCCATTGGGGCACCTGGGCGCAGCTCCATACTTCTTTACATTCCATACGTCACATTCACTATGGGAAGTAAGGAAGCACGGAACAGTCGCCCGGTTCAGAAAGATGATGATCCCTCTTATCTCTTCCTCGACGAACGATTCTACCACTTTTCTTCGTCTCTTCCGGGTTACGTAATCCACTGAATCGAGATCCACGACGTTCGGATGAATCGAACGTGGTCCTGAAAACCGATACGTTTCACCAGGATCATTCGCCAAGTACCTGATACGTACATCTCGCACTTGCTATTCGATTTGTTCGCGGACAAGGGTGCTCTCGGCCGGTCCTCCATGTTGGACCTCGAGCTGGTGGTCCTTCAAGAGGTCGAGGATTCTCTGGGCCGCGAGTTGCAACGATCAAAGAGAAGTGAAGAAGAAGAAGAAGAAGAAGAAGAAGATGAAGTCTCTAAGCGAATCCTCCGAACCGACTGACTGCTTCAGACTGAATGCTGCCAATGCTTTGAGCACGGTTGCTTCAACGAGCCCTCTAAAAATGGCCGCACAGATCCCATTGGCCTCTCCGTGTCGTGGCCGACACCCCCCGGCACATGTAAGCTTACACTTGAGACTACCACGAGGCTTGCTTGCTCCCTCGTAGCGCATCGCGCCAAATTTGTCTTTACCCGAAAATAGTCAGTCCCACGGCTGCCACCACATGGCGACTATTCCTGGTTCAGACTCGAGTGATAACTTACCCAGGCCTCTGTCTCGTTCCTCCTTTGCTCCCCCTTTCCCCTCCCTTTAGGCTTCTCTCCTGCCCCTCACGCTCCATCGCCTTCTTCTTCTTCTTTTCATCCTTTTCGTCTTCTTTTCTCTACTCGCGATACCGTACAAAGACGTACCCGTACAGAGTTCCTCGCCCCTTCTTGCGTCGTTAAACAGGGAATCCGAGGAGGACCCGATACGATGACGTTCAACCCTTTGCCGCTACGCTAATACCAATGAAATTGTTCTTCTCTATGGAATTTACGATTGACCAGCCTGGATGTTGGACTTTTATTTCATCGTTGAATCGGATGGTTGGGATTCTTTTCGTTGTTTACTAAACACTTGATTCATTTTTTACCATGAGCACCATTTGAGAATTTACAAATCATATTATTCTGTATTTTAAATCTGTAATGAATTTCTTTAGGAGTAATATATATCGAATGCAAATTTCAATTGCAATTCAGGTAAACAAATTTTAAATTGAAATTTAATGAATATCTCTTCTTAATGGGTTAAGATATTTTAGAAGGTTCATGTGCAGTGATAAGGAAACACGGTAAATCCATCAAATTAATGTAAGTGAAGTGAGATTTAGCGGCACTTTTATGTCATGAAATCGCGTCAGACTTTATGTGTTTTGAAATTAGTCATTGTTTCCTGCAACTGGCAATCAGCCATTCTATGCAGCGAACATTAATGAAGTACGTGTGATTGAATATTTTATTCTATTATAAAACAAAATTTAAAAAATATTAAAATTTAATGTAAATTTATTTATTTAATGGATATACTCTTGCTTTAAGTCTCATTTCATTCACATCTTAATTTCCAACAAATTCAAGAATTCGTGATTCATTTTTCTGAAAGCACCAATTACAAATACTTATTTGTTAAGTATTGAAAAATAGCTATTTCAAATGTTTCGAGCAAACGAAATATCAAAATTTGATATTCTACGTGTAGAACTATAAAATTTTTTGTCATTGTACAACATTTTTAGTTTACGTTTGCAGGATATTTTTATGCATAACAGATGATTCAATACTCTCCAAAAATAAATTCCTCAGCTTCTGTCACCATCACGTAATATTTTTGTTCTGTGATCATCTTTCGTTCGAATTTCAAAACTATTATCCTGTAACTCTCACGTAACTCATATTTTTAAAAATCACATTGATATAGCAGTTTTCTTCCTTTCTTCTTTCCTGATTTTCATAATTTGTGGAATGATTTTTTACTGAGACCTAGTTATTTGATTATTAATTATGAAAATAGCTGGCGGTACACGTTACTTACTGTATAAAATAGTCGAATATCCTTCCAGAATTAATTTAATTGTTTCCCGTTGCTGTGAATGATCAGATTAACTAACATGCATGAGTGATTAAATATACACGTTATACAAGTTATTTTCAGTTGAATATTTGGCAACCACTTCTGGTGGAAGAACTGATCCTTTGCATCCTTTGCATTCCACGTATATTATTTCATCTGCAATTTCATATTCGAAACAGTTCAGGACCACCGACGAATTTTGTCTCGTTCTCTCTGAGCTTCCGATATATCGCATGTTTATAAATGTCTTCCATTTTAATGAAAAGTATGTTAAAATTGAACAATATCAACGCTTAATACTTGTAGTTACCTCATCTCTTAACCCTGGAAGACCTCATACGTAACAATTCGTTTCTAATATTTTTTTTTCTTATATCTTCATTAAACCAAAATCACTTCTTCAGTACTAATCAGTAAAAAATAAAAGACTTAAGTGAGAATAATTAATTTTTTTAGATGAGAAAAATAACATATTTTCAATATTTTTTAATTGGTAATCTCGACGACCCATCCCCTGGTCTTTCTAGGGTTAACACTTTGACTACCATCCATAAAGCTCATCTATCATTTTCACAATTATTTCACTATATTTATCATCCATAATTTTAAATATCTAATATGAGTATTTTTAATCAAATAATTAAAGGAGTTCCCAATAATGTACTTGATGAATTCCAATACAAATTTAATAGCCAACCACATATGGGTAAGAGCATATTAATAAGCACATCATACCATTTCTTCGAAAAAAGTAAGTACATATACGTACATCCATTCAGTAATTGAGAGGGTGCGAATATTAATCAAACTGTATTTATCTTCTTCACGAAATATTTCCCTTGCTTTACAAAACTATCTCAATCCCAAATAAATACTATTTATTGTTCCACATATGGTTTGCTTGAAGTTGCTGCAAACAGCATGTTGCTACAACAAACTGAAAATCATGACAGAAAATTTCACCTTATCGAAACAAAAGAAAGAGGAAAAGGATTTTCAACCCTTTTCCTATTAACGATAAGTATGACCGTCGTTGTTCGTAAAGCGACCACTGATTATTAACTAAAAATAATAACAAATAGCAAGCTTGAAATGGATATTTTCAAATGGAAATTATTCTATTTACATTTCTATTGGAGGGGTTAATTACATATTCTTATTTAGAAAAATGTTATATAATAAAGCACACTATTATTTATGAATAATTGTATAATCCAGTTTAGTTTCATCATCCGGGTTAAATGTTTCAATGAAGAAACAAAATTTTCGGTGAATTTTTCTTAATTTCGAAAAATAATAATTGTTCCCATCATAAATTTAAACGAGTCAGATTTACGTTAACAGTGAAAAATTAAGAGATGGGAGGTACATAAATTGCTGGCAGCTCGAGTCGCAGTAAAAGTGTCAAACGATCCTATTAATCCTTAATGCCTTTTATACGTGACATTTTTCCGCGTCAGCTTAAGGAAATTTCGTCCCGTAAACAAGCCACGTAACGTGACCCCTGAAAATAACTAAATTGATCCTATTAAACTCCTTTAAACTATGACTTTATGGCCGGTGTCGCGAACACCTAATGAAACGTGTATCTCAAACTGATAATAAAACGCCTGCGGATCTGTAATCAGGCAAGAAAGCTTCCTCTTTGAAAATTCTCTTTTCTTCTTCAAAAAGAACTTTCATTAAATTTTCCTAGGAAAATAATATCCATTCTTCTGAGAAAAATATTATTAACCTTACACGTTGCTTGAATAAATATCCTTCTTTTCTTTATTTCAATCATGCTGCATATTAATAAAATGCAAAATTTGTAAATCAGAATTTTTTCGAATTTTTATCTTCAATTATCTAAATAACAAACTTAACGTTTCCCTTATTTAAAGTGAGCTAATTGTGAACCTAACCTTACATAACTTAACCTCACTTCATCTGACCTGACCTGAACTCTCTGATTCAACAATTTCCACCACCAATATGGAAATTTTGTTACATATAAATTATTATAGTATTTACAATATTTAAAATATTGAATTGCATTTTTCCTGATTATAGTTGCAATAGATACAATTTAATAATTTAATATAAAATACAATTTCCGACAGAGGCGAGCATAGTGAAAGGGTTGAAGCTAAAAATGATTTTCCTTTGAAATATAATTTTCTATGGATTCGTGATCGAACAGGGCAGTGAATTCTAATCGATGTCACTGTTAAGTGAGGCTTATATTCGAAATGCAAGCTGGCTAGAGAGATCGCTTGTCGCAAGTATTATTTATAGAAAGTTATTTGCAGCAATAACGGTACTGGCAAACAGCCAACGCTTCTACAATGTGATGTTATAGCTGTAATTAATTACAGTTTTATTTGATCATGTCGCGAACTTGCCTCTGATACTCCTTAGCAAATAACGTATGTATCACGGACTTTTAAATACCATGGGTGCATCAGAAGAGATACTGCGATAGAGAAGCATTTTCAATTCTTAAAATACCTAAAAATAACTTGCAATGATTATTAGACTGCGGATGTTTACACACTTAAGTTGCGTCAAAGAATGTAAATATATCAGATGAAAGATTTTGAAACGGAACAATTTTCACACAATTTCATGACATAAAATTATTGTAAAATCGCACTTGTGATATATCAGTTTGAAGGTTGAAGCTTAATGAATATGACCACGTAAAAGATTCATTAAGAATTTTAATATAAAATGGCTAAATTCTGGAAGGATTTGGTGACATAAAAGTAACATAAAATTGCACTTATGGCATATCCATTTAAAGCTTAAGGTTTATTAAAAATGATGTTATAAACGTTTTATCAATTATCTTAACATAAACTAGTTCTGCATTAGAATAAATAGTTGATTAATCTATTATTAAATATCAAATTCTTTATCACTTCAACTATTCATTTTTTTAAATATTGAATTGAAATTTATACAAAATTTTAAGCTTTGAATTGATACAGTTTTGGTTTGCAATATCGAGTACCATTCTAAATTAGTAGCTACCGAAACGATTCCTAATTCCAACTTCAAAATTCATTTAATTTATCAACTCCTGTTACTTCCTTAGCCCGCAACAATACATACAAACAAGTTATTTTCGTCGGAATCCTTCTTCCCGGAAAAGGGGTTAATAGATATTTTAGAGAAACCATCAACCGGTCGATTGACGGGACCAAGCTTTCCTCCAGCGGAAACGTTATTAAGGGATTGTACGACGCTGATGAAAAGCTCCTTGGATACTTCTGGTAGTATCGTTTCGTTTGGTGTCTGTAGGAGCAGAGGAGGAATCCTTCAGGCTGCGTCGCGACGTCTCCTCCAGATCTAAAATTACTGGCAGCCAAAGACGATGCATTCGCAGTCCGGTGAGCCGTGCGAAAACGAGCAACTACAGGCTTACACCCTAATACAGCCCCTATTTTTGGACGTCGCACTGACGCCATGCCGGAGACAACTCTCCACAAAAGAAAATCGACGTTCTTTCCCTCTCCTCCTTTCACTTCCTTTGGTACTCCTCCTTTTTTTGCGCTAACAACGTCTCAAAGAAATATTATTACTTTTCCCCTTTATGTTTTCATTTGAATTCTTATATTTGCTGAAAATTAGTTCACAAA